TCCAAACCAGCTTCAATGTCTGTAGAAATGGATAAACTGTACCTACATGAGAAGCAAGAAATACTTTGCTAATAAGTTTGGAGATGGTTCTGTTAGACATTGGTTACCTGGATAAATTTGAAACATCATAACAGGGAAAACATAGATTACATAGTGACATTGTTGAAAACACATTAAACAGCCAAGTTGTTTTTGTTGGTTTGTTTTTACCATGATGTACTAAGTACTGAAATGCTATTCTATTTTGACTATTTTAATAGAAATCACAGAAACAAGATCATTATCTGCTTTAAGGTTTTTAAGGAACTTAAGAGGTATTTAACTCCAGTAATTTACAAACTATACAAGAAACAAACTTTTTCCAGTGGTTTTCTAAAAATATAGAGCCTCAAAATTTACTTTTGCTTTTCTGGATAGGAATGTAAAATAGCAATATTTAGATAATCAATATAGAAAATATACTCAATAGGTTCCACATGGCCATGTACAGACCACTTGTCTAGATTTCACTTCAAAACTGAGTCAGATTTCATACTCTTAAATTACTTGTATCCCAGGAATGCCATATTCCTATGTACTTATTAAAGTATTTGGTGACAAATTTTTGTAAAATGTTACTATATATTGAATAATAATAAATGAGATTAAGTGGTAGTTTATATTTCATTTTTCAAAAACATATTTTAGGATTTTTTTTAAAAAAACCAAATAACTTAATGACATATATAAATCTTCATGTTTCTTGCAATGCTTCTTGCTTCTCTTTTTAGTTTCATTATGAGCTCTCCATCTCTGAATACACTGTGTTTTTTAACCATTTTCTCCAATTATGTTCTCCTCATCCATTTTCTCCATTTTCTTTACAGCTTGACTTTCACCATTTCTTCTTCTTCTTCTTCTTTTTTTTTTTTTTTTTTTTTTTTTTTTTTTTTTTTTCGGAACTGGGGATTGAACTCAGGCCCTTGCGCTTGGCAGGCAAGCGCTTATTCTACTGAGCCATCTCCCCAGCCCTCACCATTTCTTCTTATTCCTTTTCATTCTTCCCCTTCTAATCATTAGCAGCTCATACACTCACAGCTCAGAAGTAACATAGAAGTTTGTGGCCAAAACACTGTGCTACCGTGAAAAAACTGCAGGATTTTCTAAGCACTTCCTGTCCATAGTTGGTGTCTTAGTTACTCTTCTCTAATTGCTGGGACAAATACCCGACACCCAAAATGAAGGAAGGAAACTTTATTTGGCTCACAGTTAGTGGAGGATTCAGTCCATACTCAGCTGGCTCCAAGGCAGAGAGGCACATGGCAAAGGGCAACCTTCAGGGCTGCAGGGAAGAGCAGAGCGCAAAGGGAAGGGCAGCAGCAACAATGGCTGCAGAGAGCAAATCTGCCTTGCTTAAGTTTCATTCAGACTCTCTGCCCCAGGCTGGGAGTAGCTCTCATACCCATAATCCCAGTGGATCATGAGTTAATCACAAACTCTAGAAGGCCCCGCCCCATGACTGCAGGAGGCTTTGCAGTGGGACAATTAGGCATGAACCCTAACAGTTGGCCTCGGGTCCCTCGCACACACAGTCATTACACCTTGCCCTCTCTCATCAAAATCAGAACCTTATGACCATCAGATATTACTTTATGCTTCACTTTTCCTTATACCAAACTTAAAGTTGCCATGACCAAGAACATATTGATTTCTCCTGTGAATTGACCATGGGCCAGATAAAACAGACATGCAGGGAATAATTATTCAAAGCATGAATTCCTACCCACTGTGCACTATTCAGTATAAATTAGAAATCATTTAATTCCATCTCATTTTATTTTGCATTAAGATATGCTTTCCTGGTTTACATAGAAAGGGGTATCAGGGTGATCTGAGTATAAGGGATTTGTCTAAGTATTCTTCTCTGGTATGCATGTTCTCTGTACTTGTGATAGTGAGATAAAGAAGCTTTAGACACTTTTCATAAATTTCTTTCATATATTGCTATAGCACTTGTCACATTGAGGAAGTATATTTTTTGTGCCTTTGTTATTCTGAAGTGAATGGGTTTTTACTGAAAAGAACAGATACTACACTTGATCTTAGTCCAAAGACCAAGAGGAGATATGATTGGGTTGAGATGTGAGTGGGTTTCTTAAAGCTGTACTTGTTTTTTTTTTTTTTTTTGGTGTGGAACTGGGGATTGAACTCAGGGAAGCATTTACTCTACTGAGCCATCTCCCATGCCCCTAAAGCTGTACTTTTTTTTTTTTTTTAAAACTGGGGATTGAACTCAGACCCTTGTGCTTGCCAGGGAAGCACTTATTCCACTGAGCCATCTCCCCAGCCCCATAAAGCTGTACTCTTGAGGGATCATTGACCTCAAGGGCTATGAGAATCTTAAGAGAAGACATCAGTCATTTTAAGCACTGCCTACACTTTGGTAGCCAGCACTAAGGTGGAGCCAAAAGACATTCCCATCCTCCCAGTTCATCCCGCCTTCATCCTCATGCTTGGTACTGGTTTTTACATCTTTCTCTTACCAGTTATAATAAACCTCAAGATTGTGAATATATTATCATATATTTTCTTCTAGAATCTTCATAGCTTCAGATTTCATATTCAGCTTTACTTCTTTTCCCCGTATAGTCATTTCTTATTCATTTAATTTTCAGGCAAAACTGTATATAATTTATTTCTACATTCGTATCTTTTGTATCCATACTTTCTCCCAGATGATAGATGTAGATGCTTAATAAATATTTATTAGAACATGAAAGAAAGGAAGACAAACAAACATCTGGAAAAGAGTGAACAAAGATATGAATGGAGAGTTATAAACTCATTGGCCTTTATTTCCAAGAGAGTTGCATTTTTCCTTAATTAGGCACCCTTTCCTATGCAGCGGAGTTACAGTTTATGTAGATAAAGGAATGACAATCATTTTCATGTTCTTATTTAATTAAGCCTGATTCTCATCTCTTTAATGATATAATTGGAAATAAAAGTTAGTTTATATGGAAAAACAGCCAAAGGGGATCTGGAAGTGTAACTAAGACAGTGGAGGTAATTATGTGGTATGACTGTATCTCAGAAATGTTTGCCTTGGGGAAATAAGAGCTCCACTTTTTGGCATTTGAAGGCTAAGAAGTTAATTCCTCTTGTATGACTCTTTACAGAGCAGCTCTTCTCTGTATTTAAAGCTTTATAGTTTATAAATTTCCCCAAACTATGTAGATTAACAGGATAGATTATTATTGGTTCTGTATGTCTGAATGTTTCATTGTGTAAAAGTCAAGAAATTAAGCTTTCTAACTAGTATTTCTAATTTTATTCCTGGTGTTTGGTAAAGAAGGATACAGTTATAAATTATCCTATAAGAAATAAAATGAAGGGCTGATAGGATAGCTCAGTGGTCTAAGCACCTATCTGGCAAGTGCAAGGACCGGGGTTCAATCCCTCATACTGCATGCCACGCTGCTGAGCCAGCCACTAAAACCTGGATTGGTGGTGCACACCTGTAATCCAGTACTCAGGAGGCTGAGACAGGAGGACCACTATAAGTCTGACCTGTGTAGCGAGATCCTGCACCAATAAAGAAAGATTAAGAAAAAATTAAAAGAGATAAAATAAAATAGATTTCCCACTGAGAGAAAAAATCAAGGCAAAGCAAAATAATTCAGAGCTGTGACCTACAAATGCACTTTAAGGCTCTCCAATTTGGCTGCTGTGTCCCTTCTAACCCAGCCGTCAGCCATATCATTGTCCCCACAGAATATCAAGAAGATAACTTCTTTGGTTACAAACTTGATAGCCAAAACAGTGGAAACTAAGGTTATAATAATCACTCTTGAGAAAAACACTGTAGACAAAAATTGTTAAATATTAAAATAACATTCAGCCAGGAAGCTATTTTGGCCTGATGTAATCTCACCCCGACCAAGTCTGAGTGCAGGAACTCAAGTCACAATATACCCATGTATTCCAACAAAAAAGAGAC